CTAGTAGAGGGCTCTAGCTTGAATGATAGTGTCTACCACCACAGGTGGCAGGCCACTTAAGTCCTCCATTTCCTGTCCAAAGACCATACATGGAGATTTCAGAGGTCTGGATGAGACAGTCCCTGAGAAAGCAAGTCCTTCCTTAGCGGAATCCGCAAGGGGCTGTCATCAGGAGCAACGGGTCCGAGAACCAGGTCCAGGTGGGCCAGTAAGGCGCAAACCATCAAGACCTGCACCTCATCCTCCCTGAATTTGCACAGCTTTTGTGCGAACTGGCTCAGATCAGCAAGCAAAGGCCCCGTGGCCAGGAATAAAATGGGAAGACTCCGGAGAGTTGAACAGGTCTACATATGCGTCCCTGAAACATCTTCAAATCTGCTGTGGATGGAGACTCTACTCTTCCATGAGCAGTGTTCATTTCATTGACAAATAATTTTCGTCATTATTTTTGTCAACAATATTTTTCCACATACTAAAATGAGACGGGTTTAAAGGAGAACTCCGGCGCAAAATGAACCTTTGGTCTAATTACACATTGTTACCTATTCAACCGTTATCTGAGATTTGTTTTCATTATTGCCAAATGTAAATAGTTTTAGCTCTAAAAACAGTTTAGCCTATAACGCTAGTATAACGCTAGTATATAGGGCATAGAGTAATGACAAATTAAAATCGCTTGTTATTACCACTAACAAGGCCCAAAATAGCCCCACAGTAACACGGTAGCATAATAAGGGTCCCTACATTCAAACCGAAGCATTGAGAATTTTGTCAGTGTCCATACAGTTTAATAAGAAGATATTTTATACACACAGTCAACTTCGCGAATAAAGGAAGAAGCCATCTTTGAAAAATAGTCTCTACCAGTCGATCTACGAACGCCGATCCAAGTTAACTAACAAAACCCATTTAATTTTAGTCAACTAAATCTACTGTCAACTAAAACTAAAACAATTCAGATGACTAAAGTATGACTAAAACTAAATGGCATTTTAGTCAAAAGACTATGATCAAAATTAAAGGGGTGATGAACTGAGAAATCAAATTTTCCTTAAGCTTTTGATATCTAAGAGGTTATCATATAATAAGAATATCCTGTAAGTTTCAGAAATGAAAACGTCCTTGTTAGTCAAATAAAAGCTTTTATTTACACCAGCCTCTGAAAACGTCTCGTTTTGAAAAGTGGGAAGCTATGACGTCGAAGGGGTTAAAAACACCACCCCCGCAGAAGAAAATCAACACCTACTAATCAACACCCCCGCCCACCGATTCGCGCATTACACGCATTGCTAAGTAGCCTAACATACATGCCTACCTCGTGATGACAAACCGGATCGATCTAACGAGCAATACAGAATATTGTGCAGTGCTGGTTGTGGAAGAAGACAGTCGCTGCATAAGCTTCCTCTGGATTCCAATAGGACTTCATGGATAAACTTTATTTTTAATGACGTTCCAGCTGATGAGGTAAAACATCGTCCGTCTGTTCGCTTCATTTCACTGAGGATTGTTTTGTAAACAAGACTGGATTTGCAGACCGATTAAGAGTAAAGAACGTGCTGTGCCGTCTAAATTGGATCTGACAGGAATTGTGCAACAAACAGACTCTGGGTCGAACATGTATGGGCGAATCCGGTTGCCATTTGACAACATTGGACGTTTTCCCCCACATACACCGCCGGGTGAGTTAAACTCATTATAATATGCAAAACTGTTCTCCACTCACAGCAGTGGGCGTTTATTTCCAAGTCTTCAATGCGACACGCCCATAAAAACCGACCGTTTTTCAGGAAGGCTCACAACTTGGGTACAAAATAGCCTATTACTTATTCATTTTCATGTTTTTGAATGCAAAAACCAAGCGAACGTCATAAGTTGACCTCAGGCAACAACATAATAACATTTTAAAAGCCAGTTCATGACCCCTTTAACACTGTCCAGGAGCATGAGCTGTCATGAGAGGTTGTCGGCAGTATGATTCAGCTTGCCCATAATGTGAGTGGCACAGAGCGAGTCTGACTCCAGAGGAGGAGATGGCTGGCAAGTTGCGACATGTGACGTGAATGTAGATCACCCTGATGATTGATGTACGCCACCGTCAATGTGTTGTCCATCTGAAGTAGTACGTGCTTGTCCTGAAGCAACATAGGAGTACTGCTAGCGACCAGCAGTACTGCTAACATCTCAAGGCAATTGATATGCCACAGCAGTCGAGGTCCTGTCCAGGAGCCCATGCCCGTAGAATACAGCACCCCATCCTGTAATGGCCTGTAACTCAACAGCCTGTAACCCCACTGCTTAAAAAAACAACATTAAACACATCACTTTTAGAGAATTTCAGACTTGCCTCTCTCCTACCATTCATTGGGAAAACCTTTGAATGAGTTGCTTTCGACCAAGTATCATCTTTCCTGTATCCGAACAACCAGCTGGATGTCAACCAATCTGGCTTCAAGAAAGGGCATTCAACTGAGACCACATTACTATCAGTCACAGAAGCCCTGCGGATCGCAAAAGCTGCTTCCAAATCATCAGTTCTCATTCTCCTGGACCTGTCTGCTGCCTTCAACACTTTGAACCGTCAGATCCTTCTATCCACCCTCTCATCCCTGGGCATCACTGGAACTTCCCTCCACTGGTTTGAGTCCTATCTCACTGGTAGGTCCTTCAGGATCGCATGGAGAGGCAAGGTATCCAAAGCACATCAACTGACCACAGGAGTTCTTTAGGGCTCAGTGCTTGGACCCCTCCTCTTCTCCATTTACACCACATCACTGGGACCCATCATACAGGCACATGGTTTCTGTTACCATTGCTATGCTGATGACACCCAGCTCTACCTCTCATTTGAACCAGATGATCCCACAGTAGCTGCACGAATCTCAAGCTGTCTGGCTGACATCTCGGCATAAATGAAGGAACATCACCTGCAGCTCAACGTGACAAAGACTGAGCTTCTCGTCCTCCCTGACTATCTGTCACTACAGCATGACTTCACTATCCAGCTAGATTCTTCTTCAATTTCCCCATCAAGGTTTGTCAGAAATCTTGGAGTAATCTTTGATGACCAGCTGACCTTCACAGACCACATTACAAAGACAGCTCGATCATGCAGGTTTGCAATGCACAACATCAGGAAGATCAGACCTTTCCTAACTGAGCAGGCAACACAACTACTTGTCCATGCCCTGGTTATTTCTAGGTTTGATACTGCAATGCTCTTCTGGCTGAACTCCCATCATGTGCAACTAAACCTCTACAAATGATCCAGAATGCTGCTGCTCGTCTTGTCTTCAACCAGCCCAAAAGGGCCCAGGTCACTCCTCTGTTCATCTCCCTGCACTGGCTACCACTCGCTGCTCGCATCAAGTTCAAGGCGTTGACACTTGCTTACAGATCGACCACTGGCTCAGCTCCCTCCTACTTTCACTCGCTCCTACGAGTCTACATCCCTACCAGAAGCCTACGATCGATCGATGAATGACGGCCCCCGACGGCTCCCGCCTGTGATGGTACCATCACAGTGAGGCACAAAATCATTCTCCAGAACATTCACGGTTCCATGCTGGTGGAATGATCTGCCCATCCTCATCCGGAATGCAGAATCCCTGACAGCATTCAAATACAACTGAAAACTCATCTCTTCTGTGAGCACTTAACATAAAAAAAATGTAACTCGCTTATCTGGTTTATGCTACTCTGAGCAATGTTTGAACTTTGTATTTTGAGCACTTCTTGTGTTGTTATCGCCTCTTCAAGATGACTCGTTTGGTTCAGTCAACAAGTCGCTTTGCATAAAAGCGTCTGCTAAATGACTAAATGTAATGTTGCATCTGTTGTGACAAAAACATGCCTGGACACTTGTTCTCGGGGGATTCAGCCCGTAGAAAGGCAAGGTCTTTCAAGGCCTGGGGCTGAAAAAACAGCGACAGATCGGTGTGATTTCACCCGATATGTGCCACGGTGCCATGCCTATCTCGGGACTCTGCCATGTAGCAGGTGCTGAAGTGGTCTCATATGAAGCAATCCGAGCAGTGTGACCCCTGCTATGGATGCCATATGCTCTGGGAGCTTCTGAAATAATGTCAGTGGAATCGCTGTCCTGCCCCTGAAAGAATTCAAGTAGTTTAGCACTGACTGGGCATGCCATCATGTTGACCAAGTCCAACTCCATACCGAGAAAAGAGATAGGGGGAATGCATGGAGAGCATGCATGTTTCCCAGATGGTTGAGGTACCGGAGCACCCCTGTGTTCGTACAAATGATCTTGAAAGTGGGCCAGAATGAGCCAGTTCTTGAGGTAGTTGCGTATGAGAATGCTCATCTCCCTTAGCAGGGCAAGGGTAACCTTTCTTGAAGACGTGGGTGACAGGGACAGCCCAAAGGGACTTTGAAGACCAAAAGACCTTGTACTTATATGGCCACGCCTCAAACACAAAGCGCAGAAGTATAAAGGTCAAGGTATAGATCAAGACATGAAAGTCTGGTCAATAGCTGCTAACCAAACTGGGGGGGGAATGCACTTGAGTATGTGTGGAGCTTGTGAAGGGACACAAGACGAGCAGATCCAAGATCATCTAAAACTTTCTTGGGTACGTTGAAGTATGGGATGTAAAACCTTGGCCTCTTCTCAGCTGAAGGGACCAGCTCTGTTGCTTCCTTTTCCAGCACGACCGCAATTTCCGGACGCAGGACAGAAGCATCCTTGTCTGCCACTGAAGTAAACCGGACGCTGCTGAATCTGGGGGGATGCCAGGTGAACTGAATCGCATAGCCTTGTCTGATCGTCCGAATGAGCCTGTGAGACAGGCTGGGAAGGTGGGAAGCACTAGCCAGGCCCCCAGACTTTACCCGGCCCTTCTCCTGGGGAAAGAGTGGCAATAGTAGATAGGAATCAAACTTTTTAAATGTATTGGAGTCTCAATCTCAACATTGTGATGGTTATCTTCCTGCAGTGGGTACATGACGCTACCTCAGCATGCTCCAACAAATACCAACAAACGCTACCTCAGCATGCTCACTTGCAAGACGATTGTCAAGAACACAGTGAGAAAACCGCTCGGCTCTGAAGTGAAAGCTTATATGAGGAAGAGTTGCATGCTGCCTTATATACCAGTATGTATGGGGATGGCTTACCATGCAAATCTCACTCGCCAATGTCCATTTGCTTGTTTTGTTGGGCTTTCAGGCGAGATCCCATTGTGCCAATCAGATCTGGCGTAACGTCGAACGTGACTGACTGATAGGGAAAGACGAGATCTTCTGTAAGGGAGTTACAGAAGAGTTACAGTTTTACAGAAGAGTTACAGTTTTTTATTGAAGAAAAAAAATGCTAACCTTAAATCTGTGCCTCTTTGTCAAAAATATTTGCATTTTTCCTTTTTTTAATATAGGGACACATTAGGGAAATGATCTGCGGTTCTAATTCGATCCGATTAAACAAAAAGAAAAAAAAAGAAGAAAAAAAATGTATTTTGGAATTTGATCTTTTTGATGTTGTGCTAGGGCAGCTCTTTTACCTATGCAGAAAGGGTTCAGACACAGGTCAGCTTCACTAATCTGGACTCATAAAGGACATTTCATTAAGTTAAGTAATTTTACCTTAAGAAGAACATAATTAGATTTAGGCAGACATCCCACCAGAGACAATAACTGAACTCGTGGTGGCTTCCAAGGCATGATGGTCTGATATTTCTCAAAAATGACAGGAGAATTGTTATTGATTTGAGTAACTTCTGAGTGACTTTTCCGAGTCAATTCCCTCTGTCTTGTTTTCTAACACACACACATGATTTTAATTTCATGCTTATTTTCAGGCTCTCCTAAATTCAACTTAGATGGTTTGCTATTCCATAAACAGTGCAAAGGGATGCGTTTGTTCCAAAGTTACAGCCAATAAACTCCGGAAGCTCCCGCTATTTTGGGGTGTTAAAGGACATGACCTGGCTTTAAAAATGCATAGGGAGACAAACATGCTTTCTTGCTCACTTTCAGAACATTTTACGTGCATCTTTATCACCCTAACTTTCACCGTTCATCTTTCACTCTCTTTTCAGAGTCAGGTGATGTAAGTTTATAGTGTCTGTAAAGCATTCCTGTGGGTTAGCCGCTCTTAATGATCATGTGATTCCACTACAGACTGATAAAGTGATAGTGTGAGAATCTAGACTTTCACCAACACAGTGTAATCCTCATTTTCTAGAAATAGCCCTACAAAAAGTATTCTAATTATTTTCATGTTTTTATAATTTTATTACAATTACCAATTACAATCTAATTCAAAAATTTATTCTAATTTAAAAATAAATATAGACATTCTCAACTAAAAGCCATTCAAACCAAGCTGTATATTCACATTACATTTAAAGTCAATTAAACTTTGACTTGACACAGTATACAGTAGATGTTTTAGTTTAATATCTACCTTATATGGTAATGCAGAAAAAACATTTTTTTTTATTTTTTTTTATTTTTATTTTTTGTGTATGTGTGGGAATACATTACAAATAACTAGAATAACAATGTGGAGTAAACACTACAACTATTTGAACTACCAACCAGTGTGTTTATACTTATAATACATTAAAATAATGGTAAGAAATACCAGTTTGCAATTTCAAGCAGCATAACGAGCTGTACTGCTAAAAATAACTGGAAGCGGATGACACTGGAAGCCAGACACATTCAATTTACAAATGGCCACGTCCACTCTTACATTAAAAATAAGGTGGATACTAGAGCCTGATTTAATTTGGAGGATTCTTTAAACATATTACATTTTGCTCAAGATAAAGGTTTGTAAAGTATTTGTGACCTCGCAGGTCCACCAAACATTTCCATTTATCGCAATGGCTTGTTTAGGGAGGTACATAATTTGAAGTCTAACATCTTTTCTCATGGGCATAATTGTTTGTCAGCCAATCATCTGAGCCATAAATGCCATGTGAATAATCACTTTGGAAAAACAGGAAGATGAAAATATGATTGGCTAAAGGAACATCCTTGGTTCAAACACTCTGTTAAAGATCCATAACTTTTTAGCAGATGATAGAAGTGCATTAAGCTGGATGAGATCATCTAACATCTTATAGATACATGTTTATATGTGAACAAAATGTATAAATTAAATTGGTTCATCATATAAAGCATTGTTTATTTTCAGAACCCATATTGGCCATACTACTGTTGTTCTGTATAATACAGAATAATGTGTTTGTATTTATCATATTTTTTTTTATTTTTATTGTATTGTAGTAGTGTATTTATTGTTTTAATTTTTAACCTGCTAGGGACTGCAGATGAAAATTAGCCTGGTATGGCTAAATCTGGCACATTTACATGTTGGACCTTGTACTCATGTTAATTAATGTGCATTGTCCCTTTAAATAAAGAAACTCAAACTAAGAAGACTTAACTGCATGATTGAATTTCGTATATGATGTATTTATGAAGTTTCTAAAGTATTAAAGTTTTGGTAATGACGGAGCAGAAATATCTCAAGTTTCAGTAAAAACACTTTTTGAAGATGGACAAAGCACTTTTGGATTTAGAGGGACATGACAGTGGGTAACTGATAAATGAAATTTCGTGTTTGGGCTAACTAACCGTTTAATTATTTTTTTTTATTTATTTTTTTTTAGTAAAGTTCCTGTGTCTCTCTGTGTGCGTGTAAGAGTAAAAGAGTAAATGAAATTGCAAGCTCTGTTTATAATTATAAACAGATGCACTGACAAAATTTTACTGTCTGGTTGAACTGTTTTACTGAATGCTTGAACCACACCCAGAGGGTTTATAAACCACAGTTATAGAGCAATGTATAAAGGGAGGGACAAGAGAGATGAGGAAGAGGATAAGGGAGATGGTTGGGATATGATACACGCATTAATTCACACCAACTCACTGTATGAAACACATGTTTGACCTCCGGCAAGGATCAACCTGAAAGATGGTATTTTATTTGCAATTAATTGCTTTGTTTCCATGGAGAATACTTAACACCCACAGTTACAGAAGACACATGCACACCGACACCCTTAAGGAAAGGAAAGTGCTTAACCAATCACAACCTCCTGCCTACTCTTACGAAAAAGAACAAGTTTACTTTATTAAGTACTTAGGTCTAAGTAGAGTTCAAATATATTTTTAAATATACTTTATGTAGCAAATTACTAATATCAATGTACTAGAAGTAAACTTGTAAGTGTACTAATTCAATACTTCTTGGGTTCGGGAAGAGTAAAGTAGATTTGAAGTAAATTCCTTCAAACTAGTTTATATGACAGTATGTACAACTATGTGAATAAAGTATTTAATAGGCTACTCTGCAAAAGTTACCTTGAAAAAAACCTTTAAAGTGTAATGAATTGCCTAAAATTGTTGAAAAAAAGACCTAAAAGCGGCTTCAATAAAAGGGGCTTCTATAAAAGTTCTCCACACGGCTCAGGTGGGTTAATAAAGGCATTCAGAAGAAAAATATCCACAGATTTTTTTGTAACAAAAGTAATTCTTTTTGTCACTTTTGATGAAGGTATTACAGATTCCAAATTTTTGACCAGTAGTGTAAAGAATTTTAAACCATACAAACTGTCTATATTCTATCCCATAAACCTAAACCTCCCCCTAAAAACACAGAAAACCTTTGGGATTTTTACATAAAAAACAAACAAAACAAAACATAATTTAGTATGATTTATATATGGGGACCAAAGGGCCCCACAAGATCAAACATTTCTGGTATTACACACACTCTCGTGGAAGCCCCACCTGCACAGCTCCTTCTAATCTTCAAACACACCTCACCACCCCTCGATTCCTCCCAGCCCTCCAGCTCTCTTTTTCACATGCTCCTGCAGGTCGTCTTGTTCTGTTCTGTTCTGTTCTCAGAATGCATTTGAGCTACTGACGGCAGTTCAACAAAAACAGTGAACATTTTACGCAACAGACCTGTGACTGAAACTTTGGCTGTTCACCAGCTATTTTCAAAAATGGTTGTACATGGTGTCCCAAAACAAAATGTACACACAGACTTAAAAAAAAATGCTTTTGTGCACTAATATTAGTTTCTTATCATTCAAAAGCATAAATGTGTTTGTGTAATGTGTTTAAAGGCTGTCTGATCGTCTTTGAACCCCTTAGCTGCACACTGATGGAATACATCAAGAGGGACAGAGACCTCTAGAACTTTGAAACTCTATTCGACCGAGAACATGAGATGAGCAGATCTATCAACTTCATCTGGAAGTGATATTCGCAAAAGCACAACTGACCAACGCGTTCTCATCCCAAAGCGCCATATAGGACGCTTTTGCAAAAGCGTAAATATCCAACGCACATGGCACCCTTTAACGTCTAATGAGACGCTTCGGTTAGGGTTAAGTTTAGGTAAGCTGTAGGGTAAGGGTTAGATATATCTGCGTCCCATTTCACGTTAAAGGGTGCCATGTGCGTTGGATATTTACGCTTTTGCAAAAGCGTCCTATATGGCGCTTTGGTGTGCAGGTCACATCAAGGGAATAAAGGGATTGGATTTGGGAGGGAAATGTTGGAATGGTACCCACATAAACAAACACTACTGACCATGTTTGTTTGTTTGATTCTACATTATTCCACTATATTATACCCTCTGGCACAACACATTTCCTTTTTACTTTCTTCAAAGCCATAAGAAAGTTAATATTTTTCTTGCTGCAGCATATCCAGGATCCCCCCGCTATCCCACAGACCAACAAGCACCGGAAATCGGGATTATGAATCCACAAATGAATTTGTCCAGAAGTATTGGCTGTCAGGTCTTTCCTCAGAGCACTATAGCACACACCCACAGGAAATTCACACTCTTTGGGACAATGAGGATGATGACTAAGAAACACTCAGCCAGGGTTGCATAAAAAAATCATGTTTAAGTAGCAGCACATTCAGAGTCATTTTGATAGCTGGAAAGCTTATGCGTCATATTCTTCTAATATAAGTATGCGTGTAGGGCATTGTATTTAATATTCAGCAGCATTAAGTCTGAATGTTACTAGAAACTAACCAGACTAACCATGTGTTTTTATTGCTCTTAGGGCATGAAAAATTGAAAGTAATGTGCATTACATGATCAGATCAATTTTTTTGTAACGGGCAGAGTAGCATTAAAAGTAATGTGCATTACTTTTTTGAAGTTACGGGTAAAGTAACATATTACTAGTAACATGCATAATCAATTACTTTTGAACTGCAAATTACAATCTAATGACACAAGTACATTTATTTACAGCCAA